CTTGCTTAATCGTTTCACCTCGACAATAGTTGTCATTTAAATACTATGATTACTTTTGAGCTCACTCAATACTTCGTGTAAAGCTTTTCGGTTCTGCGTAATTGCTTCAAGACTGGTAATTTTTTTTGTCATCAATTAGCTTGCAATATGTCGAAGTCTAGCTTTAATGATAGAGCGCGATGTGACATAACTTAGTCAAGATAGCAAAGGTGAAATCACCCTTGACTGCTAAAACGAATTACTAGCTTCTTTGCACATTAAAATATTTAATCGTCCTGTAGTGGGGCGGGGTTCACAAAGTTAATGATGTTATCCCGTACACCATTTTCCGATCCGATTCTCCATTGTCCTCAAAGCCTACTATTTACTCTCCGACGATACCTATCGAGACTGTAGATCATTGACAGATGGCGTCATTCAGTTGGTGATGTGGTGAAAAACGCGAGGTCACCTTCCTTTTTTCACTGCAAGTTTTTCAACAGGTAAAGAAACGAATGTCGATCCGAGGTATGGATAGTCTATCGGGGTAGGGGATAATGATGGTACATTTGGGCGGCACAAGAATAGTAAACGATTTCGTGTATTATTAATGCTTTGATTTTATACCTCGGTAGTACTAATTTACTTTTCTATGAGCGGACGAATAAGACACCATTTAATGGACCGAATAGACTTTACGCCTGTAGAAGGTGTAACCTTACACATAAGTGCTTGAATATAACTTAATTTCTATTATTATATAGAATGCACATTTGCCCAATGAAATACCGTAAGAGTGATTTGCTTTCCATCCAGCAATATTGTTGACATTAAGTGCTGTTATTTCTATGAAATTTTTATCTTTCAACTTGTTTACTCTTCCGATAGTTAACGTATATTAGAAAACTAAAGGACGTCGACTCATATTCGTCATTATAAGGCTAAATTTATTCATAATCGTTTGTATGTTGCCCTCATTTTCAATCTATAGGTCTCACTTCTACCCCCAAAACTAATCGGATACTCGATGTGAAGCCTTCCATTAAGGTGGATGTATCTAAACTATGCTAAAAATGTATCATGCTCTTACCGTGAGTCAATCGAGCCTGTATGCTTAAGGATACGCCACACCATATTAGGGATGCGATAGATACGATTTATTATGATTTAAAAGTATTGTAGAAAACCTGTAAAAAACCGCAGAAATGTGGTCTTTCATTTTATTGCGATTAAGAGTAGTTTAATGTTCAATATCGAGACAAAATGATGTATTACAGTTTGTTTTTAATTAGTTAACTACGTAGATGATAATCTTTAGCCGCCTGGTGATGTATATGATTTGTTATTCTAGGTGCTGAGGCCCTACGTTGGGATACAAAGACAGGTATTATTATGTGTACATCCCCCGCTAATGTAAACATCTACTTTTAATCATCACAAGCTGCGATATCCATTGATAGATGTCAATCGTTTAATGACTTTTGGTCTGCGTTACCTCCGCTAAGAGCTGATCATTGTGCAACATAGCCCTAATGGCTATGATAGGACAATCGAGTCACCATACTGTCTTTCCATGCAGTTGTTGAGAGTGAGTCAGATCACGAAGCAAATTGTACCTTTGGAATGATGCGGACCTAAGTTGAACATATTAAAGGATATGGTGATACATTCTATAAGGATCGAGTCGTCAAAGTCGAGTATCACCTCAATAACTATTCAAAAAGTAAGAGACGTACTAATGACGATTCAGAAAGTATAAGGGGACATCACTTTTGCCGCAAATAGTCTTTGCATGCTCGTTAATCGTAGAAATGAACAGGTTTCTGAGCACGACGATCAATTTTTAGCACTATGTAATTACGTCTACGATTCTGGGCGAAACAAGCTCGTGAATAGTAGTGCAATCTGCGCGAAGGGATACCCAAGCTGATAAAAGCTACGTGTGGCGACTTAATACAAATGTCACATCAGTATGCGAGTATCACAATGAAGCTGTTCAAGCGGTATCGTTTTAGTATATATCGAAAACGGTGTATAATTTGTATGAATATCGATTGTCGGTGTGGACGTAACATGTTATTAATTGTTTGTTTCAAACAAAGAGGGCACATATCTAGTACATTATTGTCGGGGATGTATCGGCTAACACAAGTGAAGACAATCATTCCCATCATATTTACGCTTTTGCTCTATATGGTCTACTAAACTTGTAGCAATAGATGGTAAAGAGTGCAAAGTATCCGGCATGTGATCCAATTCCAGATGAGCCGATTCACAATATTACCGATACATAGATAAAAAAACAGAAGCATATGGAAACTGTATGCTCAAGTGCTATGGTGCGAGAAAAATACAAATGATATCAACAATTTATAGATCTAGCAATGAAGGATTATTTTTCGTAGAGTCCCGTGTGGATTGAATACTACTATTCTACCCGCTTTGGTAGCAAACATCACAACCAACGCAACGCATTTTATAAAAGAAGTTGTAACATAAATAGCTTGAGACGATCCATTACTTCAACACATTTGAAGAGCATAATAAACACATAAAAACTAATAGAGATGGAGGAAAATATGGTTGTTGATGGGAAATATCCAGTTCTATCTGGATTATGACAAATTAAACTTTTCGATTGTCTAGTGAGACCACATCGACGTCGTAATACACTTTTACAGTTACGTATTGAATCTGTCTATCCATATAGAAAATATAACACACACTGTATACACTACAGTTTTTGCCATTATAAATTTTCCTTTAGCCACGTCTCTAGACCTACCATCATATGATATGAGTATCGTGTTATCAAAACAGCTTTAAGGCGCTCTGAAGCTCGAATCGTTCTAATAATCATCGCGCTGGACATAAATAAGATACGGTGCATAATTGCTACGATAATCTGACTTAACAAAAAATTTGCACCCGGAATGATGGTGTTGTGGTATAAGCCGCTGAAATATCAAGTGTACCACAAAGTAGAACAAATTAGTCTAAGGGAGCAGGTTCTGCCTGCATGCATGAATAATAATACAGGAAAAGATTAAAGGTAGTGTTACATCTTCACATCCTAAAGAAAGGTGTATGAAAAACTGTCTAATTTACTTTTGTACAATGGTTTGTTATTTGCAAAACGTCGGATATATGATGAGCTCAGTCTGTATTACAAGATCATAAGAGGATAGTCCAGCTTTACCATCTTTGGTGTTTGGTTGTTTTGGCTGTCTAAGCTTTTCGTGTGGCGTGTTGGTATACGGTAATCGTGCAGCTAGAACTGTACCCTTGTTCTCCCGCTTTGCAAAAGATTGACGGTTTGCTCGAATTGCCACTACCATTTTTTGGCGCTGATGTTTGATCGTGATATCCACATTGAGGGACACTGCGCAATTACATTCCAAAAAAAACAAGCCAAAATGCAAAATAATGCTTGAGCACGCTATCGCGACTCATTATCACCATTAGATTATGCGGTCGCGATTCTAAAATTACCACTCTTCGCTTGATTGGTGCATGTTTGAAACGGAACACCTTTAACATACATATTATAGGCTACCTACACTATCGCAATTTGGTAGTGACTGTTATTTACACATGCACTACACGAGCCGAATAAAAGAGCTAATTATAACGGGGTGAGCCTGCTACATGTCATTAGCCTGAATTGTGTCAATGTAACTGTTATTTTCGATTTAAATATTTGAACAATATAACTCGTACGGATCAATATTGAAGGATTATTACCTTTTGAAGAAAACATTGAACACTGATCGACTAATGGCTGGTATAGGCCATTAAAATAAACAAACCTCATTGATTGCTACTCGACGCGCGCGATGGATGGTTACCGAGACCTGCATTGGAATTTTGTCACTTTACATATCTTCAATACGATAAAAAGGATTATGAGAGAGACATGACTGTTTTACATTCACTCCTAGATGATGTTTAGGCGTTTCTTGATCACGTAGCTCTTGTACTCTACACGTAATGTGTTCGTGAAGTTTGGATATACACACCCTTGTGCTGCATCGGTACAAAAGCTTATCCCTTTATCTGGTAAGTAGTTTATCTTATTACAAAAGTCCTTTCAATATGTATATGAAAGCAGGAAAAGTAGAAAAGCATATATAAATAGTAAAATATTTGATGCCTCATTCTATCTTCTCAAGAATATAATAAAGTACACAAGTCAAGTAAGGCTACCTACTCACGAGTGATTGTCCGCGTCTAGCAGCGATCAGTGATTGATTTCGGTACATACTTTGGCCTGTATATGGCAAATATGTGGAGTAGTACCGATTTTTACCTTCGACTAGACGTATTTGAACATTTACTTTCTAACGTATTTGTTAGAAAAATAATATTGTGGGGCTTGCATATATCTCCATTTTAGATTCTAATGACATTCGACGGGCTCACGTGTTACAAAGAATGACAGTCCTATATCGGAATGACATCCCCGCACGATATGGTGCTATGCAGCACAGCTTATGTCCTAATTTCGTTGATCTCCTAGCAATTTTCTAGCCGATTTACAATGTTCGAGCAAAGCATAATTCTCATATCACTGAATAATACTGTTCTCGAGATTATGTTACAAAAGCGGAGAGGCAAAAAAGTTTGATTTGTGATCGAAGCTGGAGGGTATCGTTTCGTCATATTTGAAAACGTACCTTCGGGCAGATGTCGACGACTTGCCATTCGTTGTTTGATTTTTGATGCTTTTGAAACAGTCGTCTTTTGCTTCTAGTTTTTCGAGCTGGTCCACCTACTTAGTCGACACCGTCAGTAGTCTCCGCCGTGTTATAACACCGAAACGCGGCCGATACGCGGCTGCAACAAACCGGTATATATGAGCCACCTGATGTCTGCGCCACATACCGTGACTGACACTTTAACTCGAAATACTAGAGTGACATTTATACATGCCATCCATTTCAGGTTCGTTCACTCGCAGCCTAATCAACGCAGTCAACAGCGTAAATGATCATTCTCGTAGCTTCGGCCGTAATTCGAATCTATTCTTGTCCCTCCTTCAAAGTTCCCCTCTTGCGGTAGACTCGCTGCTGCCGCTTCTTCTTCTTCTTCTGAATCATATTGCCTCCGGTATCGCCTTCACCGTCGCCCCGTACAGACGTCACGACTGGTACACGACCATCCACAGAGTCAATAAGAACTGATCCAGCGACTTGCTCTGCCTCCGTTTTCATGTTTCCGCGCACTTTCTTCTTGCCAACTTCGTTTACGCGGCGAATATTGCCAGGCTCACTTTTCGCTCCAGAATTGACCTGCTGTGACGCCCCACCGTGCTGTTGCTGCTCCTTCCGATGGCCACTCAGTTTTACAACAGCAGCTTGTTGACCACTTGACAGCGCTAAATGGAGTACATGACGACGGGCATTTCGTTCAGCCGCACTCTTGTCAACCTGCTGAGCCCGATCACCAGCACCTTCAGAATTGTTGTCTTCACGACCGCCAGTTGCTGAGCACTTGCTTGTCGCATGTTTGGGCGATAGACACTGACGGCACGGTGGCGTAGCGAAATAAGTCTGGTGGTGAACCCATACTCGGCCCCCGCGACCATCCTCTGTCTCCCAATCTATTCGCGTCGTTCTGTATAGTCTGCGTGGTAACTTTTTGGCCTGCGTCCACAGCTCAACCTCCCACTGCTTCCCCGAGCTTTCCACGTCATGACCATCGCCGGCAGTAGAATCAAAACTTGTTGCTTCCACCACCTTGCCAACACTAACCGATGCCTGGAAGTCTTTGAACAACTGCTCAATCTCCTCCTTTGTCAACTTTTCGTCGGCGCTCTCTAACGACAATGAGAACGAACGCTTGGTCACATCTGCTTGTCGCTGACTTCGTTCGCTTTGCACCCCGTTCACTGGCGCAGCCGTTCCGTTCTTTTGCTTTGCCTTTCCAGCCTTTACCGCTTTGTCGGCAGGTTTATCAACGGCACAGACGTCGTCGATGAAGCTCCCACCTTGGACCAGCAAGCCGTGCGCGCGGCGGAGCTCGCAGATGATTCGCTCTTGTCCCTTGTATTGCAACACGCATCCTAGATCACGTCCGGTCTCCAATGGATCCTGAATGCTCAGCCGCCATGTCTTGGCCTTACGGCTGCCCCATTGCTGAAGTTTCAGCACAGGTGTTTCTGGCGATCGCACAGTCACGACGCGCTTCGCAAAATCGAATTGTGTGGCGTAAAATTCAAAGAAACCAACCAGCAGAGTTGCCAACGACACTCCTGAAACGTCACTCGCCAACGTAAGCTCATGGTGGCGCTGAGCGAGATCGCGGTCCTTGCAAAAAGCGATGTTGACACCGTTCACGTAGTCGGGCTCAACATGTGCATACTCCAAGAGCCTCGGATCTTGCAGATTTGGAAGTACGCGTACTACTTGCAGGTAAAAGATGCTCAGCAATACAAATGAATAGGAACTGAGAAACCCCATCGACGCATCGCTAATGCCCCGGCGCTTGACCCAGTGTTTCACAGCGAGCCCCAGAGAGCGCGCACGATCGTCGAAAGACGCGTACGCACGCAAGAGAGGCGTGTTGTGCGTAGCCAGCACATTCTCGAAGCACAAGTCGCACTCGTACTCACAACCACTGGACTTGTGCAAGAAGCGGATGATAGGGACACGAGCGCCAGCTATCACGTGGCGCACCTCACACCCAACGAGGCGCTGAAGAATTTCACGGACGCGATAAAGATCATTGGTGCGACGTTTGCTGGCAGCAATGACTGCTTTTAGATGCGCAGGTGCACCCTTGCTTGCAATGGCATCTTCCGGTAAATTCGAGAGTTCAGCTACAATTGCATTGTGCAGCATACGCATTTGACAGTGGAAGAACTCGAGCGAACAGCGTTGCTTAGCCACCTTATCACAGGTCGAACCCACTCGGTCCAGTTCGTTCAGTGCTTGTGTGAGCTTCTCGATGCCTGTTCGTACTAATGCACCTATCTCGGGTAGCTGATACACACCTCCAGCATCGCTTCGTGTATGTTCGCTTTCTCCAGGGCTTCCGCCTATCAAGCGCTGCAGCTCCCGTTTTCCAATTGCTTCTACTGACGGACCTACGTATTTTATACTGCTGCGACCATTTGGAAGCAGACACATGTCCAGATCCGATCCCAGAGAGCCGTAGTGAGTCAAAGAGCTACCGTACAAGACCACATCGCAATGCCGCCACTGGCTCACTTCCCGTCGAAAAACTGTCTGAATATCTCGAGCTACTTGTAAACGACGCTTCTCCTCTTGCGGCCCAATACTCGACGATTCCACAATCTGCTGTAGCTCCATGGACCATGCCTTTTCCGCATCCGACGGCACTGTCGTCACGTAAGCGGTAGATAGCGTCGGGGTTTGCGCTGACTCCGCCAAGAACGTCAAGAACGACTCTACCTGCTCACAAACTAGTTCTTCTGCCCCTTTTGTCGCATTCTTGCGCACTCGCATTCTCGCTTCACGCTTCTTGCGTACACTCCCTATTGTCGGGTCTGCTTCCACATGTTCCTCGTCTCTCAAGACCTCAATCCAGCGTCTCAGTACCACTTCATGGCCATTCGTAGCTCTGCTCAGTATCAGTTCCGTAGCGTTTTCCACCACTTCTGTCACAACAATCCTCTCAACAGTCTTCCTTCTCTTTGCATTAGACTTCTCAGCTGCTTTCTGCTGCTTCATCAACTCCAGTCTCGAGACTCGCAGCACGTTGGTTGCTTGCTCCACAATCTCCTCCACAGACCATAAACACGCGTCTGCATCATCGTCGTTCTCCTCTTCCTCTGCACCCTCAATTACCTCCCGCTTTGAGCTTCGAGAAAGCTCCTGGCGCAGTTTACATTGAATCTGATACAGCGCAAACATCCGCTGAACGGCTTCCGCGGACTGGGGCGTCGTGGCATCCCCCACACCATTACAGCGACCCAAGAGCCAGTGCGCAAAGACCAAGTCACCCTTGCCTGCGTTGTACCACAGAGCGTCGTGGTAGTCGGCAACAACAGCGGTCGAGTCTGCAATCGCAAGCTTCGACACCGACTTCGACCGGGCTTTGCGCGGCTTCTGCTTGCCCTGGAGCGACGCGAGCTGCAGCCTCGCGTCATGTGAGACCTTCTGCTTGTTATGCGCGTGACGCCGACGCGGTTGTGGCGGTAACGGAGCCGCAGTGACTGACACAGACGCGTCCATCGGGCCAAGACGGCGACGAGATCGGAAGTGCGCCACCCCGTCCGGTCCCATGATTGGTACCCATCGAGTACAGTTTGAGCCAATCGGAGTGCAAAAGCTACAGCTCTACACCCGTATGCTCGAAGTGGTCGTAGCGATTGGTTAATAAACAAACCATCAGACTCGACAGCGAAGGCCGTCAACACTTTTGACAAAGCGCAGTCGCCTGTAACTTGAAGATGAGGCGATAAAGCGCCCCGAATGTTCGCGAGGCGTTTTGGCCACTGCAATGCTGGCGTGCTCTATGTGAAGTGTAACACCCGATCTTTGCGCAACCGCAACCGCAAACGACTCGGTCGCAGGGAAGAGAAGGAGAAGGAGGAGAAGGAGACTCACACACTGGCTTCTACGGTTTCCTCCCACTTGATTGTAAACCCGCTTGTTAAGTCAAATGTCGCCCGAATGTCTCGCTCCCTTGCTTGCTCGGACCCACTTTTTGGGGCACTACGTTATTACAAGTTGCCCACTTTGTTCGGCCCACGTCTTTTTGCGCTGTGACCGAGCGACCCATTTCGCCCATTCTGCGACGTTTTTTTGCGACAACGACTCGGCTACTGTTGGTCGGCTCAAGTCGTACTTACTCGGCCCACAGGTGCACCAGCGTGAGCTCTTCGGCGTTTCGCACCAATCAGCAGTCGCGCCGTCTTCGGCCAGAGTTACACAACGGTCATTCCCACAGTAGCGCCCACTGCGACTTCAGTTCACGACCAGCTGCGCTGGCGTCCGTCGAGCGACGTTGCCGAGCATTGAGGTGCATTGGCTTGCTTCCTTACGAGCGACATTGTCCGTGCTCCTTCGCGATGCTGGCGGCCACCAAGCGCCCCCGTCGCGCTGCTTCGGCCGAAGACTCGCTGGACCCTCGCGTGATGACGGAGCGACAGCAGCTGGCGTTTCTCCTGCGAGCGACAGCGCCGTCTGACGCCTCGGAGAGTTTGAGCAGCTCGAGTGGCTCGGACTTCTCGAGTGATGAAGAGGCCGAAGACGATGACGATGAGGACGATGACGACGATGATGACGATGATGACGAGAAGCCGCCCCGTCGACTACGTGTTGCCGTCAAGCAAAGCAATCGTCGTGCCGATCGTACGCTGGCAAATGTTTCGAATACGGTCTCGTGTGTTTTGCTGTGACTTGCAGAAGAGTTACCGATACGTTTTTGTGTTTTTGCTGCTGCTACTATAGACACGAGTGGCGCGCCGGAGAGGACGTTGCCGAAGGCTCTTCCTGTGATTTATTGTGGTCGTGGTCGACCGCCCAAGAACTCAATAAAGTTGCCTCGGAGTACTCTTCATCCGTACGTGCGATCAGCAAAAATATCGCCTGGAAGTCGATATACACGGTCTGCCGATGCAGAGGTGGCTGCTGCTGTTGCCGCGAAATTACGAGCAGAGAAACGGGCGGTTTGTCGAGTGCTCAGAGCGGAGAGAAAAGAGAGGGTTGTCTGCGTCCAGCAAGAGAAGACAAGTCCGTCTAGTGCTAGCGATGTAGCCATGTTGAATAGTGCGGCTGGAACGCCGTTATGTGCGCTGTGTTGCGATCTGGAGCCATTCTGCGACGCGCCGCTGTTTCTGTGTCCGGCGTGTGATCAGAAGTACCCGACGCAGCAAACACTTGGTCGTGTCTGTATGACATAGCAGAGCGTGGAAGCGATGAATGGAGAATGGGAAGCGATGGAAGCACAAATAGCAGAAGGATGAAGACGGAAGTGATCCTGGCGGCGTGCGTGTGTGCGAGTGTGCAGCGCTTGACGGCAGGCTTGGCTTGTCTTGTCTATAGCCGTCGGATGAATTGGTATGAATGAATGGACGCCTGTGCATCCTTTACTGCTATCGTCTACATGCCCAGTGCAGTGCTCTGCCTGTCAATCGTCAGGGCTTGCAGCGACTGTTGCCTCAGCTCACAAATGGCGCTGCCGGTGGCATTTCCGGTAGTGATGGTATGCTGCGTCGTATATAAGCATATATGTATGTATATGTTACTTCTAGTGGCCCCCTCACGGTATCTATAACTTCCGGTACCACTGCGCTGGCTCACGACTCATGTCATGATCACCATGTACGTCAGCAGGAGTAAAATAAGCACGAGCACAATAATAACGACAAAGTTTTTCACGCCGCCCGATTGTTTGATGAGTTCCTGTGTCTGTTTCGATACGATTGCCAGTGTCTGCTTCGCTCTGTCCGTGTCATCATTCAAATCGTCCAGCATTCTGCACGCAATAGACACAACAACAACAACAATAACAACAGCGCTTAGAGCTGCAGGGCCAAGACAAGAAGTCGCCCCGACACTCGATGCAGCACTCCTCGCTCGCTCTCTCTCGCACTCACTGGTTCTGCGTGTCCAGCTCCGTACTGATGCTCAGACTCATGTCTCCTAGCCGCCTCACGGCCAAGTGAAGCTCGTCTAAACTCTCGTCCTGCTTCTGGCGCTCGAGCTGCTGGACGCGTTGCTGGTCGGCCACGTAGTCGTCCTCATGATCCTCGGGCTTTCGCAACAGACACACACTAACATCAGCACTTCGTACGCGTCATCACATCATAGCAACGTAGAAATCGACGAGGGGACGCGGGTACCTCGTTGTCCAGCTTGGCGTACGACGACGGCTTTCCTGGCATCATACTGCCACCAACTGCTCTCTCGCTCGCGTGTGTGCGTGCGTGTTTAGTTTTGTACCGACTCTAGCGATATGATTGGGCAAAACCGAATCGAAATTTACATGCCCACAAAATAAGTTTCTATCATTTACATAGAGCCGCGCGCTCTTGGGGCATACAATCTCTCCGCTGAAAGTCGAAACTCCGACGACTGACTGTTACTCTTCCCGCTTCCCACTTCCTGGTAGTGCGTACATACTCTTGCTGCTCTCTGCGCGGTCTCTTGCTTCGACGTCACTCGAGCGAGACAACACACGTATTCACCAACAACACGCACTGAATGCGCCAACGTCTGCTCCTTGCTGTTCAAGGCTAGCGTGCTCCTTACGTCGCTTTCACTTTCACTTGCTACGGTGGTCGTAGCCAGCAAAAAACGCCAACCCTTCGCTTCTCCGTCAGTCATTCTTCATTGATTGATCACGTCATGCAGGCGCGTCGCCCCAAGGCCCATTGCGTCGGGTACTTCTGGTCGCACGCGGGGCACAGAAATAGGACGTCCGAGTATGACGCCTCGTGGGCCGTGTCGTAATCGCAACAGAGCGCACAGCGTGGCTCGCTGTCTCCACAGGGCCGACTCGTTGCCTTCAACCGCGACACATCATCCTCCGACCCCGACACCTCAACCTTCTCTTCGTATCGCGAAGCGTCTTGTCGTGCTGTCCCTTGCCGCTTCCAGTCCACCGCACGTGGTCTCTTCTTGTACTCCTTGCCCTTCGTGCGCGGACACGGGCGGCCGCTCGCCGTGCGCTGCTGACGTCGTCGGTGCTTCTTTGCAGTCTGCAAAGACGCTACCGCCACGTCTTGCGGCTCTCTGTTGCACTGCTGCAAAGTGTCCGACGCCTCGTGAGCGGTTGTCCGCAGTAGAAACGCCAGCTGCTGACGCTCCGTCATGAGACTCGGGTCCACGCACAACAAATGATGTTCCTCGTCCCGTAGCGTCTCGTCCTCGGGGCCGCGCAGGCGCTTGGTCGTGCGTGTAGCCATGTGCTCGCCACCTCGTTGCTGCTCGCCTTCGGGCTTTTCGACACTGCGTGGTCTCGGAGACATCCACTCACGCACCGGTCGATCGCTGCCGTTTCTGCTGCTTCTCTGCTTCGTCGCCTTGTCAAAGTGTGGACAGCTTCATCCGGATGGCTTCAGTTCTCACCCAATGAAAGGCCTGCAAGGGCCACTTCAACAAAGGGAGAGCTCCAGGAGACCATTCCGATCTCAACCCTCGATCGCCAATCTCCTATGGCTGCCTGCACGAACACGAGCTACACGAGCGCAAGCGTCGACCAGTCCTTCTGTTGTCGTCCTTCTTCAGCTTCGGTCTGCCACGCCTGCGACGTTGGCTGGACCAAGTGAGTAGCCCACTGCTAGTACAGCTGCTAAAGGACAGACACATCCTCGTTCGTTCTCATTCGTTTCTTCACTGTCTGTGCCACCCTCGTCTCAGACGTCCTGATCGTTCTTTTTCCTGTGTGCTCGTCATCTTGCGCGCTGTGGTCAACGGACCGGCGGCCACCTTTGCGTCTGGTCTTCAGGCCACTTGACGCTGTTGCTCTCTCCAGTACGCTCACCCTCTGCTACAATGCGTCCTCAGGTGCTGTAAAACTGGTGCGGCGCGCACCACGAAGAGCGCACCTCTTTCACAAGCCTTGCGAACTCATCTTGCGCTCGCTCCCTCTGGCCACAGCCACTGGTCCTATCGACGGCTTCTTACCCGTTCTTTCGAGAGAGCGAGGGCGAAAGAGATAGCGAGCGAGAGCGACTGTCTACGTAACGTTGCGGCTTACCATATTTCTGGAATGCATTTGATAACCTCGTGGTACTCCAGGAGATGGATGGTTCCGGACGTCAACAGGGGTTCGCCTCGTCAACTGCCGGGCTGTGATGCTTTCTAGAGCACGCCTGTTGCTAGACGTAGGGATATGCTCCTTCGTCCGTCCCTGCCATATCGCGGTTCCTCGATCGCACAGAGATGTCGTAGGAAGACTGCTCGGTCACGGGTTAGCTTGTTGTTGTACATGTACGTCCATTATTTCGAATAATTAACGACTGAAAATATGACTGTAAAGATGCCCCGGAAACCGGGACTCATCCGTGGGTGCTCCAAAGAGCCGGGCAAGGGCAGCGACGGTCACAGACCATCCCTCCCAAGCCGGGTTCGAGCCTTTCATGACCGCTGATGCGACCAATCGAACCATACGTGCTAATCGCCGAAGCAGCAGCGCGCGACGCGGAATAGGCTGCCATTCGTGGCAGCTACCCTGTTTGGACCGCTTGCGCGACCCTTGACGTAGAGGGCGATCACCGAGGTGACAGCAAGGCGTGGGGAACGCCAACCCGCCGTAGTATCTCTCCGAGAAGCTCATCCATCTGCGATGGCCAACCCGCCGTAGAATCTCCCCGAGGAACTCGGTCACGGGTTAGCAAAGACCTGGACGATCCGCAATGCTGCCACGATTTGCGGTGCCTTCTGTGCCTGCTCTGTGTCGTGCTTCTCTGATCGATTCGGGCAGCGACAAGTGCCCACGGGACGACAACCCACTGCTGCTCTGTTGCTCCAAACCGGCTCCAACTAATTCCCTCTCACATCGAAGTTGGGCTACAGCGCGCGGATCGCTCGTGTGCGCGGTGTTTCGTGCGCCGTAGATTGGCGCGCCGCAGCGTCATCCTCGTCGACGCTTTGTTTATCGAATCAAAAGACGACAAACCTGCAGTCACACACTGGCGGTAGGCAGCCGGCGCGATCGTCCACGCAGCATCTCGTGCGTCTACAGACGAAGACGTCCAATAGCTACTTCCTCGTCTTGCAGTCACTGCGGGCGGCGAGACACACATTTTTGATACTGTTATTGCATCTCCGCGCTATCGGTGCCTGTTACACTACGACTTGTCCCCCATCCTCTGCATTTCAGGGCGCGGGCATACTTTACTCTGCTGCAAGGAACCAGCGGCTCCATATCAACATTGCTAACGCCTGAATCGTTGTGACCGTGTGCATCACCTTCTTCGACCTGATCTAGACGGAAGCAGTGCAACGTAGCGTCAGTCTGTCATTAGGTGATCCGCCACCTGATGACGTTTATTACATACGCCTTCACCGGACGTGGTGCGGGGCAGTTGTAGTTTGTAACGGAATGCTCGACCAGTCGTCAGTAGTCATTGACGCAGCTTTATGCTGTATCTCGCAACTCGCAGAAGTCGAGGGCGCCGGTACGAAGTGCGTTCGCGCTTACGTCGCGACTCCTCGCTGCAACGGCACCTTTGCTCGCTGATACCAAGTGCTTTGCCGCAGGCTTCAGCATGTGGTCTCACCTACCGCGTTCAGTCGAAACAACATCAGCAGCAACGTACCCACAGTAGCTTATCCTGGATCATCACCACGTTGCTCAGTACACTCCCTGCAAGCACATCGCATCGAGGCTTCCTCTGTCACGGTCTGTAACCGCTTGCACGTCTCGAGCCATCTATCGCATCGCCCGTCATCTCTACCTATTTGATGGCTCACCTCAAAGGATCAAACAATTTGTTGCCTCAGGACGTGAGCCATCGTGCCAAGCAGCTTGCTGGGTCCGTTGAGTCAGCTGTAAGAAGCGAAGACGAGCGTGAAGACGTACTAGATTGTCAGTAGTGTTTAGCGCGTGTTCGTGCAGCGTGGCAGTGTTGATTGCATGCAGCACTTAACATCGCTAGCATCGAATCCCCATTCCCTGCGATTCACCTCAGCTGTTGAAGATGCGCGTGTAGAGCTGATCGTGCATGGCCTGCACGAGGTCCAATATCGGTGCTGACGAGTACGAGTCTTCCACCTCGCGGTCCTTCTTGTCCCGAACCACCTTCTCCAGCAACGGCGTCAGCTCAAACTGCAGCTTTGCAGCTTCAAACGGTCCTACGAGATTCAATCTCGTGGCCGCGCTCAGGATGTCGCGCGTCGTCACATACAGAAACATGCGCTGCGTCGACTCGACCGCCACATCCAGCAACGCACACACTACGCCAAAGAGCACAGCATAGTGGACGCCCTCTTGCTTTCGCTTCTTGACCGCTTTGCGGATGTCCAGCAGCACCACGTGCGTGCGTGGGTTCGCGGACGCATAGGTAGACAGCGCCAGTCGCAGCAGTGCCGCGCCCTGGGCGAACGAGGCCTTGCGCGCAACGTGGTTCGAATAGAGCGCAATGGCGCGACTGTTGAGCCGCAGCACGGACTCGACAAAGTCCGGGGCAGTCACGAGTGTCTGACGCGAGGAAAACACCAGCGGCAGCGCGAAGTTGGCAGTCTGATGCAGCGACGCTGAAAGGAACGCAGGGAGCGATCGCGCGCTCACGAGTCCTTCCTGCGCGGCAGCTTCAAGGCCCAGCGAGTGGGCAAAGCCGCCCGTTGGATACAGCGAGTCCACGATTTGCCACAGTGCCCAATCGCCAGTTACGGGTGGCGGAGCAGCACCCGCCGCCTGAGCGCCGACGCCCGCCATGAGAAGATGATCCGATCCGATCCGGTGCGAGCAATGGATTGCGACGAGGCACTCATTGGTTCGCTGGGTGCAGAACGGCTTTGCGTCGCTTTTCCCTCGTGCAAACGGAGTCGAAATTCTAATCATCAGCTCAGCAAACTGACGCTGGGAATCGGACCTGTTTTCGTTGTTAGCCGCTCTCACTCGGTCGTGGTGAAAAGCTGAGGGGTTTGTTTCGCTACTCGCAGTGTGGCATGAGGACATTCTGCTGTTCTCGCACGATGTGTCTTGTCGACCACAAACATGTTGTAACATGTGTTGTTGGGCAAGTGAACGCTATAAAAGCGATAAACGTTTTTTCGCTCAGGTATCGTTCAACGTGTGAGCCCAAACGCCCCACACGGTCATCTCTTCCGGCTGGCTTTTCGGCTCGCGACGACCGAGGGTCCGTGTGTCTACACTCTACTCTTTCCTTGCTCAGCCAGACTGAGCTAGACGTATACGACAAGATACGTCGGTCGGACGCAAAATACGAGTTGAGGGGCTGAATAGGCCGGATTGGAAGCTGTCCATACGGTCAGCAACTAGTTCAAGTGTCAAAAGGCTAGGTATGTTGTAAACAAGCATTACTTATATTTATATTCACTTAATATCAATACAGATCGCGATCCAACCTGACAGCGACTACGACAAAATTACCACTTTCATCTCATTCTTACGGGATTAGCCCGTCACATTTCATTATCACCAATGTGCTTCATGTGAAAATAGTTAAAGTGATAATATTTTCTAACATATACAGTCTTCTCTCCGATAAGTTATGGGTACGGTGGACGACAATCACCATAACTTAGAAGAGTTTATAATTTATTGATTTTTGTGTAGCGTACATAAGGAGAATCAATCAATTGAGTGATTAAAAAAGCAGACCTGGGTACCCAAATCTACCCTCACTTCCCTTAAGTTCAAGCCAAAGTCCATCCCTAAAGGGTTTCACTGCTGGAACAGAACAAAGGTCTCAGACTCCTGTCTAGTTTTCTCCCTTCCCAACGCTACGAGACGCACCCATAGCTTCTTTCGTCTGAGCCAACAATTATTACACAGGGAAAGATACATATATACATTTTTAACCGTGTCTTGCCCGTTGGTGTGATATCTGAGCAGTATGAAATGTCGTAGATCCGTCTTATCAATAACAAATGTCTGCAAATATGCAGACACAAGGATAAAAACCCAGATATATTGCAAACGGTACTGGCGAAATGGGCTACGGTGGAGTTCGGCCTTGTCAAAACGCTGTCGCAACATCAATCAGCAATATCTTTCGAAAGCGGTCTAATCTCGAGAATATGGATCCAAGCAGCCAAATGCAAAGCAAAAGCGACTGGTTCAACATCCCATACTGGAAGAAGCTGTGTCTCTTTGGGTCCTGCAATGTCAACATCGCGGAGTGGATATCACCGGGGATATCATCTGTGCGAAGGCTCATCGGCTTACTCAATTTCTTGGTCCTCCTGACGACGCCATCATTATCTTGCACGGATGGCTTCATAATTTCAGCAACGTCACATGCTCCGCGCTATCAAAATTTACGGTGAAAGCGGCTCGGTGGACGTGGACGCGATGAATAAAGCTCTACCTCGTGTAAAGAAGGTCATCGCAGAGTACGCGCTGTGTGGTGTTTTCAACATAGGTGAAACCGGTAGGTTTTGTTTGTTATATTTCTAATTGAAACCGAGTCTGACGAAAATAATTTGCAGGACTATACTACAGCATGACACCAAACAGGACTATTGCAGAGCAAGAAATCGAAGGACACAAAAAAGACAAGGTGAGTATATTGCAGAATTCGTGTTGCCATTCACTAACACAGGGATATGCACTGACATCCTATGCAGTCGAGAATTACAATTGTGCTTACTGAAAATGATGATGGCTATGACAAGATGCAGCATTTATTTATCGTGAAATCCAAGAATATCCTCTGCTTTGACAAGAAAATAGGTCAAGCACGTGGATTTCTCTATCGCAGCAACACAAAGGCTTGGATGATGGGCGCGTTCTTCCAGGAATGGCTTGCAAATCGAGACAAAACAATGAAGGTGCGTAGCTATTTGAGATAAGATAACATTTTATTCTAATATTGTATTTTTTCAGATCAAAAAGCAGAATTATCCTTCTATTGCTTGACAATGCTTCGTCGCATATGACGAATGACCGTACGTTAACGAACGTCAAGGTCCAGCTGCTTCTACCACGTGTGACCTCCATGATTCAGCCGGTGAATTCTGGTGTCATCGCAGCGTTCAAGTGGCGGTATCGCCGTTGCTATCTGCAGAATGCGGTCAATTGTGACGAGCGAAGGGAGAGTTTTAACATCTACAAAGTCAACCAACTTACTGCCATGCGCTGGTCGGTGGCTGCCTGGGCTGTTTCAGTTTCAAGCACTACCATCGCCAACTGCTTCAGTCACACGGGGCTTTTTTCTACTGAATCGGTCATTTCAAGTGCAGTGGAGGTGGAAAGGAGCAAAAATGGCGCAACGGAGGTCGATGAGGAAGAAAGTGAGCTGGGGCAAGAGCTGGAAGCACAGATCAAGAAGCTGCGTGTCCGAGATCCCATGAAGATTTCGGAGCTTCTCGATTGCATCGGAGAGAATAAGACTGCTCAGCCTGAGCTAACCGACATCGAGATCCTAAAAGAGGTTTTGGAGGCAGATGATGAGAAGGAAAACAGTGAAGGTGAGGTACCTGTCGCAGAAACATAAACCAGAATCGAGAAGATTAACCTCCTTAGTAATGCCTGCTCCCTGATCTAAGTATCCCAGGAAAGTCACCAAGCTGCATATAAAGTCCTTCGCAACCACTTGATCTTCGCAACACCCCCACCATCCAAACCACGATCGACATGTGGTTCGGGTAGTCTTTCTCTTCTATATTACGAAAACAAGTGCTCGTTTTTCAAGTTGAATTGCCCTATTTGATCATAATTTAAAACTTATAATTTAGCGGCCATAGAACGAGGCGTGGACGCGGAAATCGATAACCTACTAGAGGTTATAACTTATCGGAGGAGAACTTATCGGATGGTAGACTGCACCTTACTAGGTATATATTAAATCAAAATAACCTTCGCAATGATCTTCAGCACTGCTTTACTGATTGGTTGATATAGGCTAATATATAACAATATGTCAAAAAACTTAACTTACTGTCGCTGCTAGAAGCGCAATGGATGTGAGCAGGTAGCCATATTAGAAAAGTGTAGCTTAAGATAGTCTAAGTGCGTCAAAGGAGGTACAATATAGGAGACAAAAGCTGTACGTAAGGTACAGTACTACTGTCCCCTATACCAATTTTGATCGTTTTGTAGACTTACAAATGTACACTAGTATTTTTTCCTTTGCACGTACATTGTATGTAAAGTTTGAGGCACCTGTCTACACTGCGATCGGTGTAGGAGTTTGTTTTATGTCGGTACGTGCATCGGCGCCCCGTTTACAGTTACTACACACGTCCTACTATCCCAATATGCACTATTCTTTCGTGGAATCTTTACCGGATCCGAAACTGTCAAGTACAATCTGGTACCAATGGGGTAGTATGACTGTGTGAACAACCATGCGTGGATCCATATGCTGTCGCCAGCTTTCACCAACTATCATCGAACCGATTGCAACTTCCATCCAACTAATTTTAACAGGTACTTGATCTCATATGTATTTGTCATAATATTTCTTTGTGTCCAACTAGGCATATGTACGTCTTTGCTGGACAAATTATACATACCTGGGTCAATATCGATGCCGCGATCGATGGGCTTTATATCGACTACAGTTCTTTGCTTGAGGTGATTGTGTAGGATTTGCTTAACCTTTTTCTTCCAGTTTTATTAAAGCTGTTCATGAAGAGTAAATCTCAAAACCAGTACCACAAATGCACAAAAGTCCCAAAACCAGTAATATACTCAATTCAAGTATAAAAAACACGATAAATAGTGTCAATTACATTACACTTAACTGCAAGAAGAGACAAGAAACTGCTTGATTGCTAGGGATAGGCGATGCGGCAGCAAGTAACTCCTACAATGGCAGGAAGTTAGGCAGGAAGTGAGGCAGCAAGCAAAGTAAATATACATTTTTGGCCCTTTTGCGCCCGGTGTTTAGTTACTAAATAGCTACCAGCTACCATCGTGTCTCTATTAAATCGTCTTGTTTTGTAGCCTTGATTAAGGTTGGCATAATACTGTTGAATGATTGATTAAAGCAGCTGGCGAGATGCCTTTGGAAAACGCGCAAGTATAAGCGAAGGGACCATTCTAAACGGGCCTGCGTACATCGTCAAGTGTTGCTCCTTTTGCGGTGCCATTATCTGCAGCTCGTGGTGCTCTAGTGGCGGCAGTGGATGCTGGAACGCAACTGGTCCTTGTGGAGCTACGAGTGCGCCAAATGAGACATTGAGCAGATCCCTTTTGACCTTCGCGAGATGTTGTTGCGAAGGCAGCGCTTGATCCATGGAGGCTTGGGATGGAGGAATCTGCTGCTGATGGCGGTGGTCGCTCCAGCTCAAAGTACGACGCGTGGAGGTACAACTTGTTTGACGGGTAGCAGTAATTTTGGAGCCTGCGTTCTCCCCGACACGTCGAGCCCCAGGAATTGGAGCCGGTGCACCGGGAATGACGCCAAAGATAGCCGAAGCAAACATCTGCCGCTTGTCGATGGTGCCATTCGCATCTAAATCACTTATGGGATCGTAGTTCTCGTAGATGATCGGGGTAGCGTACTCTTGCTGCGGTTGGATGTTGGGAAGACTGGGTAGGGTACCGTCCCTGGCCGCCAATAGCGGCAATAGGTGGATGCGTATCATACTTACCTTGTACCCGTAGATGCTCTAATTACATTGGTTTGGCGGATTAGGCAGGCCAGTGTCCACAGGTATGTCAGCTCCAGTTGGACCAGGTGCGAGGTTGTCGGGTGTGGGTATACCCATAGGGCCCCACATGTTCTTAACATCTCCGCGCTTTCCAGCATCGAAGCCCGTAATAGGGTCTGGGCCATTAGACTGCCAAGCCTAGGCGTGCCGCCCTGACCACCGATATTACCCCAATTGCTCACCCCGAACGATCCTTGCTGGTCCACAAGGGAAAGATTGGTCGGACACGAAATTTAAGGCTTCTACAGCTGCTTACATGACGATTCGATACGAGGCACGGTACGAGCTGGCAGCTAGATGAAATGTTAGCATTTGATACGAAAGGGCCAATCAAATGTATTTCGACTTACTTGCTGCCGCGCTTGCTGTCAATGCCTGTTTTACTTACTACCCTCTCGCTCTCCCTAGCAATCAAGCAGTTTCTTGTCTCATGTTGCAGTTTAGTATAATGTGGTGACACTATTTAACGTGTTTTTATACTTGAGTTGAGTATAGCACTGGTTTTGGGACTTTTGTGCATTTGTGGTACTGGTTTTGAGATTTACTTGTTCATGAACTACGACGATTTGTATACTTTGTATACTCTTTTATTCATTTATTTAGGACAGTCCGCGTATGATACTGACACTGACTTTCCGAGTTATAATTCGTCTCAATATCTTCATCGTTACCCTCTAGTGTGATCAAAATCATTTTGAATATACCTGCGCATGCTGTATCAAAGTTATTATTACAAATTGATCAATAATCGCCACGCTGCCCAGACGTGCCTCCTTTCGCATTTATTACTCTGACACAATGGAGTCCTACGCAAATCTGGCGCTCACATTCATGACCTTTACTTATGCGCGCATTCGATCTTTGCGTCGATCGTGGGGCATATCGTGTCTTGGCTAGTGGCAGGACCGAGGTATCGGCCACTGCACGAAAACCTTCTCACGATGTTTCGTATTGTGCTGGGAACTACCAAATAGATCTCTAGAATCTTGCTGTAAGTAACCATGCGATACACGATCGCCCTGACCTGTTTTGTGACCATTTGATTCGTTTCGTACACCCATGCCTTCGTGGCAGAGTCTTCTGATTATTTAAATCGATCAGTTGACCGCATCAGCCGTCTTGAGATCATGTACAATACCCTGCTGCGCACGGTCGCAGTTACCATGTACTACAAAAACCCAGCGCAAGAAGGCGTGCAATTATATGCAATCAATCCGGTAGATGGGTCTTATTCAGAACGCGTATCTTTAGTCATCGGCAGGATGAACTGTTTCCTACTTGTAGAACATGAGACGCGTCGTGTACAACAAGAACGAAATGGAGGTGCGACGTATATTGAGACACCAGTATACTTACAATTGTGCATTTACTATTCTGTTAAAACATCGTCCGGATCGAGATCGGTGTGTCATTGGTTGTGGATATGATCTCGCATCGAGGTGACTGCAACTTTGAGCAAGACACATGCAACAGCTCTTATGGGTCATGTTGTAGTACCGAAGGTACGTCATCGGTATGTCTCTGACGGAGAAATACCGAAACGAAATGACATGCCCAACAACAAGACCGCTACTTCAACTCGATCTTTCATGCCAGCATGTGTAAGTTTTCTTTGCGATACATTAGAGTACTTATCGCTTTGTAAGTCGCAGTACTTTTCACGCATTGTCGATATAGAGCCCGATCCGAAGAAGACGCGCACGTTCTTTCCATCTTTCCACGTCGCGCCATTGTCCCTCTTTTCTGACAACATGCCAGTAGCGTAGCAGCAGTATCAGAAGCAACAACGTCTCGTTCGTTGCTATTACAAGCCAAGCATCGGCCTGAGCCAGGCTCACGTTGCGCCGTGGACTTAAAAAATCGTCGAGGTGTAGCGCCTTTTCTTACAACTGGTACCAGCCCCGTCCTCTATCAGCGGCAGCCTTAAACGACAATCTCATGTCCCAGATATGATATCACAGTCACGAAATATCAGGTTTGGAGCTGGATCGGTTCGACATATCGAGGCGAGGGAGAAGAAATGCCACGCGTCGTCACGGAGGCTGCTCGCATTGCCCAATCATCAGTACGTCCCCTGCCACTTCCCACACCATGACCGGGCGCGCGCGCAAGCGGATAGAGAAGAAGCAGTCCACGCAGCTCGTGAGCGAGCTCCATAGCAACGGGGTGGCAGCGTAGCGTGCAACCCGGAAGGGAGTAGTCTATCGGATATTCCGCAATGTGGAGTAGGCCGACGGTGGTTCGAGATACCCTGCGTCCAGTGATCCTGTCCTTTATAATCTCTCCCCAGTCGCCGACTAGTGCGATGCGCTTTATACCATGATGGGTACTTCATATGAACGTGGTCAACCGTCGAGGTCTAGCACTGATATGCTTGACTCGGTCATCGGCCACACTCGTGTGTCCTTTCTGAGAGCGCGGAGCCCGGCTGATTGAGTCAGCAAATTCAAAGATGAGGCAGAGAACGACCGTAGTATCTAAGACGGGGGATCGAGGTGGTCTTCGTCTACCAGATGGACGAAGCACTGACAAAGTATCTGTCGTAGACAGTCTGAATCCGCCACCTAGTGGATCAACGAACGACGTTGGAAAACACGTCCCTTGTCACAGTTCGAATCGCGTGGTTGTCTTTACAATCCGCGACTGGAGCGTCGAATAGGACGGGGGTAGTAATGAGGGCTGAGCTCCGTCCGATCGGTCGCAGGGTCGATCCAAACTTTGTTCCATAATGTCACGGATACGGCTGACGAAGATTTGCTCACAAGTCTCTGTGAGCAATTGATGGGAAACGCTCAAGATCGACGTTGTAGGATTGTCCTGGCCTGGATGCCGATCGCCTGGCGCCTGTCGCTGTCGAAAGCCCATCCAAAAGCTTCATGCTTTACAAGAACACGATGCAACGACGTGCGACTACATAGACAGCGCGCGTGGCGCTTTTCACTGCACGACGTGGCGAGCAAGACGCACCCTATTGTGCACCTAAGCTGTAGCTGTGCTGAGCTCACGCTAGGAGGTGGGTAGTAAGTGGTACTTCTCCTGCAGTAACTAGCAGAATGCAAGCGCTATGTGCCGGTATCGTGCGGTCCGAACAACGCATCCGTCGTAGAAAGATCCAGCACGATCCGAGCAATGGACGCCACTGCGGTAGCTTAAAAGTGTAGCATCCGCGTGCGCCGAGTAAGCTTGGGATGCTTCAAAGCACGTGCCAACTCATTATTTCAATGTAGCAATCACGACGGTGTGCGACCTCCGGCATCCGAAGAAAGGGGCTTGAGGAACGGATGTTTAGAGGGAGCGCGAGGGCGTGAAACCTGATCGCTGTTGCCCGAGAAATCGCTGATCCTTCCCGTGGCGAGAATGATGTTGCTACGGAGCAAAGTTTTGTGATGTGCACGAAGCAGTGAGAGACCGATGCGGGTGACCCCTGCGCGGGCAGAACAACAATTTCGACGATCTAGCAAGCGACCAGTGGGTTTATGATGTACGTTTCCAGCGATTCTCATCACCGCTGCGGCAGTGGTGAGAAAAACTAATCGATTCTGTACGATGCGGAGCACTGAAAGGGGAGTGCTCGACCAGGAACGAACGAGCAAAAGCTACAGTTGCCGTCATAGCCGGGCACTGGCAGATCGAACTATGTTTGCAGTCTTTCTTTGGCACCTTGCGCAAAGTGGTCACGACGTCTCCCGCGTGGCGATGCAGTCAGAAGTGGAAGGGTAGAGACGTCGAACCTGTCACGGAAGTCACATATATAGCATAGTAAACGATCGCCTGTGTCTCTGCATCGTCCTAGGAACCAATCTTGAGCTGTGCACAGCAGACGATACTGGACCCGGTGTTTTCTAGCTCAGAGGCTAATCGTGACGAGATGTCCTACCGAGGCGACGAGGGGTATCGCATGTTGAATCTCAGTTCCTTGAACGACCGACGCCTGTTGTCTATCCAGGACCGAGTAAGTAGCGCGGCGCACGTCTCGAGTCCAATGTCATTTTCTATCCGACACCAACTAGCACAGGAGAGACCATGGGCGTCGACCCGAGTAGTAGAGCCAGGTCAACCGTCAGGAAGGAGAACGATCTCCAAGTGAGTTAGTACCTCTCGAGATCCATTGGCGTGAACTGCTGTCGTCCTTTCGGTGCTTCTTGACAATCAAATGCTCCTGTGATTATACGCCCGCGACAGATTCCGCGCCACGTTGCAGTCATCATTGATGGCAACCGCCGCTACGGTAAACTCAAGTACGGCTCCGGTACTCGTGGCCACTCGGACGGAACGAAGACCGTGATGAAATTCACGGACTGGTGCATCGATGCTGGTGTGAAGGTGCTCACCGTCTTTGCCTTTTCCACAGGTGGGTGATAGGAGGCAGTCCGTGCCTAACACTATTGGCGACGCTGCTGACGTGTTTGTACGTGATAGAAAACTGGAAGCGCGAGAAAAGCGAAGTCGACACGCTCATGAAGCTCATTGATGGATTCGTCCATGACACGCTGGGCGAGGCTCTAACCCGCAACATCAGAGTGCGCATGCTCGCGTCCGACAGTAGCAAGCTGCCGGCATTCCTTATTGACTCATTCAATGCGGTCGAGGCCAAGACCCGGCACTGCGACGCGTTCCACCTCAACCTTTGCGTCAGGTGCATTCCAACAATCTGCGACGCACAACAGCTCATTCTCATTCCCAGACTAACCGATGTGTGGTCCCAGCTACGGCGCTCGCGATGAAATTGTTCAAGCGTGTAAGAAAATCGCTGCCGAGGTTGTGCAGGGCAAGACGGCTATCGACGACATCGACGAAGTTCTGCTCAGTAACCGCATGCTCACAGCGTACGTTTTGTTGCTTGCATTCCTTTCAACCGTGCGCGGTCTGAGCTCTCTCGGTGCTGCGTTATCTTTTCTACTTCATGTAGCGGTTTACCGGACCCGGACGTCGTGATACGTACATCAGGAGAGCTTCGCATCAGCAATTTCTTGCTCTTCCAGATTGCCTACGCAGAGCTCATTTTCATGGACAAATTTTGGCCAGAGGTGACCCGCGACGATTTGCAGGATATCATCGTCGAGTACAACCGTCGCAAGCGCCGTTTTGGCAAGTAAAAACCAGCAGAGCCATCAACACATGCTTTGTTCTCCTTTGCCCCATGCCAAGTATATCTCTGCACCTGTCGTATGATGCAGACGTTGTATCATTAGTCGACGCACATGGTCCATCGTTACAACAAAACAAAAGCCCATTTACCAAATTGAGTTTATAAGGCACACCGTTTGTATCAGCAAGTTACGCATCAGGCGACGTCGACATCTTCGCTTCTGTCTTCTTCTTTAGTTTATCCACGATAAACTTGACCCGAAAGACGCCTCCTCCGTCGTTGTAAACGAACTTTTCTCGGTCAGTCGAGACTCCCAGCGGGGCCTCGTGAAGCGCATCAAAGTCATAGAGCTTGGACAGTTCAAAGACCTCGACCATGTATGCAAACAGCTCTTCCACGTCCGTCTGCACGTAAATTGGTGTACCATTGGGCAACTGACCAGCCATCTCCTCCACAAACGCGTCCGTTACAAGTCGTCGCTTGACGTGACGTTTCTTCATCCACGGGTCCGGGTGGAAAATGGACACACTCGTTACAGGCGCAGGTAGCGACTGGAGCAGTCGCGTCTGATGGAGGTTCATGTTGGCGTGCACGAACGCCAAGTTCAAGAGTCCGCGTCGCTTGGCTTCTCGCTCGGCCTCCTGCAGTACATTGCGACGGATCTCGACACCGACAAAGTTCCGCTCGGTCGCGTGCGACGCCGCCACGTCCATGAGGTAGTTGCCCCGAGCGCAGCCAATGTCGACGTGTATAGGCAGCGACGGGTCGGCAAATTGTCGGGTCCAATCCGGCAGCTCAATCGGTTGGTGGTACACGACCGAAAGCGGATTGACGTGCTGGCGGAACCGCTTCGAGCCCGAACGAGCTGAAGCGGCTGCACGAGGCGTCTCCCGCTGTGTCTGGACAGTCCTGAGCGGCGACACGGCCGAGTGGTGCAGTAGACAGCCTGACGCTCGACAAGACGTGGACAGTCGCGGCCTCGCTCGACCGAAGTGAAGCCATCTCGACTGCACTCGCGCCATTTTAACGAATGGGTACACTTTGCACTGGCTGCAGTGCCACGTGCCCGGAGCTGGACGCTCATTGGCTGAAATACTTGCTGCACGTTGCCACGTACGGGTGTGGGAGCTGGTCATGGACGAGAACGCGAGCAGCGTCGCGTGGCGATGGGAGAGCGTGGGACGGCAGACGCTGTCGCAAGTGGACGGCAGCGTCGACGCACACAGCCTCAGCTTTGGGCTGACGAGGTCGTTCTACAACGGCTTTGAGATGTGGTGGCTCGCGGGGATGCCCATGACGCTCGCGTTGGTACTGACGCTCTTGAGCTTCTCGCTGGCGTTGGGCGCTAGCAGCCTCGGCAAGTCGGTGTACTGGAGCCGACTTGTGCCCGCTACAGTGCGGCAACTGGTCGAGTGGGTAAGCGGACCGCTGCGCGTGGGTGACGGTGTTGTAGTGGAGAAGATGAGGACGAAGGGCTTCACGGACGCTACTGGGATGGCAATGGCGACGACTCCGGGTCACATTGCAGTGATCATGGATGGCAATCGACGCTATGGAAAGCACAAGTACGGGGAGGGGGTGAAAGGACACTCGGACGGCAGCAAGACGCTCGTGCAGTTTACAGGGTGGTGCATGGACGCGGGCATTCAGATGCTGACGGTGTTTGCGTTCTCGACAGGTGAGATACTGGCCGATTGGGGTGCTGGAAGCTGGGTGTGTGCGTCTCATGAGCTGTACATGTTTGCTGCTGCGGTGTAGAAAATTGGAATCGCGGAAAAGCAGAAGTGGACGCGCTGATGCAGCTGTTCCACCAGTTTATGCACGAGATTGTGCCGGAAGCACTGAAGCGAGGCGTCCGCGTGCGCGTGCTGGTATCTGACGGAAGAAATTTGCCAGGCTATATTGTCAAAGTTGCTGAGAAGATCGAGACTGAGACGCAGCACTGCACCAAGTTCAGCCTCAACCTCTGCGTCAGGTATGACTCCTTTGGTCCTGTGTGTGCATTGCAATGTCTATGAGGTTGGGCTTATCATCATCATTTAATGTCTGAACGCAGCTACGGCGCGCGTGACGAGATTGTAGGTGCCTGCAAAAAGATCGCGATCGAAGTCATAAACGGTGAGACGTCTGTCGACGACATCAACGAGGATCTGCTCAGTCAACGCATGCTCACAGCGTACGTCTTTGCTGGATGATCAAATGAGATGGCTAAGTTGTCGGTCACCACTGATGGGGTCGCTTGGTTTTGTGGCTGTAACAGCGGTCTGCCAGACCCGGACGTTCTTATCCGCACGTCGGGTGAGCTGCGCATTAGCAACTTTTTGCTGTTTCAAATTGCGTACTCCGAGCTGATCTTCATCGACAAATTGTGGCCGGAGGTCACACGAGACGACGTGCAAGACATAGTCCTCGAGTTCAGTCGCCGCAAGCGCCGCTTTGGCAAGTAAAGTACGGTGACATTGCTGCTCGATGTAGATGCGTGGTTGCCGCTGGGGAGATAGTTGCTGCACGCGGGCATCCATTCGAAACATGGACATCGAGCTTGTACAGCCGCAATCACGGCATCGGAAACACGAGACCTCTCGGTTACATACGTCGACAAAGTGCTGCTGATTGGTATGCACAGTACACTAATGGAATAGCACTTCCAACCTTTAAAAGGGGTTCAATTGCCTCCATGCATGGTAATACCAATCGAAGGTGCCGAGTCGTGACTCGTAGCGTTTGTCTACTCGACGACATTTTGCTTCTCCGATTGTGAGTGCTTTCGCGGCGCAAGCACTGCACAATTGAAATGTCTTGTAGATGAGAATTGCACAGCACAGGTCGTGGGAACGACATTGATCGACATTCTTTGAAGTACTTTTCGTGCGATTGTCGGGCTTCTGCCGTGCTTCATGACCTTCGCATACAGCGTATGATCACTATGCGCGTTACACGAGAACAGCATGTCTCACACCTGTTTTTTGGAGCAATTGTTGTCTCCAGACCAGCGATCTCTCGAGACCTTTTGAGGACTTCTCAACAAAAATCGTTCGCTTACGGAATCTGCATTCTAGCCGTCTTGTAACTCCGACATTCAACGTGGACATCCACTATCGCATTTCCGCTGTCTCAACATCTTCTCTCCTCAAGAAAAACCGCGTCTGTGCTTCTTCGTGGCGTAACACTACATAAACAAGCTCAGAAAATGGACCCTCTGAGCCCCACATTGTGCAGTTCTTTACAGCCCTGTCTTGCCAATAGCAGCTTCCAGCGCGTGCCGAGGGAATGTCTATGTAACACGTCAATCCTGCAAAGCTTGGCAACGGTGGATATCGATACACTACAGTCACATATTGCCGCGAATGCCGTGTGTGCAGCAAAATCACACCACTTTTGCTGCATTCAACAGGTACGCTCTATGATAGCCAAAGCTCTTCGTCGACCGCTATTCATCCTCCTCGTCGTCCGTAAATCAACGCCGTGCTTGCAGCAATCCACATAGGGCGTCGCAAGAAGCACACCTGCCTCACAAGCGACTTCAAAAGACCTTGCAGATGTACCGCTGCCGAGTACACTCGACGTATCTGGCGCACATGCCGTATCTGTACGAGGTACGGCCAAACGTCTTGCACATTAAGCATATGATCCAACCAGCACTCGTTGACTGAGCGCATGTGCTGTACACCACGAGATCTCTCATACCTGTTTTACCTGTGTCGTCACGGCTCACAATTTGCACTCTTTGCACCGGAGACGGACGGCCAGCATATATGCATGCTGATGCTTCGCCTACTAAATTGCGCCGGCTAGTTCCAATTGGACTTCGCCGGATCAACCACGTCGTTCCAATAGTCTCGCAGTGGGTACAAGCTCTACTGACAAAGCTGCATACCGTCGTGCTCAATCCTCCACTTGACCATCAAGCTGCAAATTAGTAAGGGATACCGAAGCTCGCTTAACTGAGCCTGCTTCATCTACAAGCAAGTGCAATTTGAACCAGCGAGTCGATGAACCGACCGGAAAATGGACTTGCTGCTCCACGCGATTTATATGCAGCGTACTCTTCACCGCTTGGTCCGTGCAAAGTGACGTTAAGGTTCCCACGGTGTCTCATCTGTTTGCGTCTCTCTCCATCGGTTAAAATGTGACCCTCGCACCCTGACTTCTCCCCAAATTCCGGAGGTTAAACTCCATTCAAGTCCGCGATAGCACTACGATATTCCGCACCGTAAACTTGCACTGTCCTCTCCAGAAGTATTTCGACCCGCTCATTTGTTGCGCATACGCAAGCCTTCGCACCAGGATCGCCCTATTCGCATCTGGCTGTTGTTCACCGCAAAGAGCCCCGGCAATTTAAGATGAAAGCTTCATTCCTCGGCTCAAGCCGTTGACTGGGATCTCGTTTCCTGCTTCAATATTCATCATAAAGATCACAAAAACGGCCACTTGACGTCTTCACACGCGCATTGACATCTTCCATGTTCTCGTTGCATGCAGTCGCGGTAGACCGCGCCTTTGTCAAAGCCGACGTTTACTGGCGAATACACAGCGTCGACCTCTGCATTCCCGCTGAGTGGGCTCCTCTCCTCGATTTTCTGCACCACCCTCAGGCAAGCATTCGCCATGTTACACTACTGATCGATTGATAGAACTAGCGGCAAATACGTCAAGTCTGATCGAGTCCTCTAGCCGTAGAATTGTATGCCTCGAACCACTTCTGCAACTCTGCATGCCAGCCGCACCCGTATATCCTTTCAAGACTTGAAGTTTGTCTTTGGCTGAGCTCATCACAAGCATGCACTGCGCACTCAGTAGCAAGTTCCTTTCTCGCACCTATCGACTCACCAATGAATGAATCGTCAATACTCATCATGTCGGTCACGCAGGTCATGCCCGTCGGACGAGTCGATGTCGGATTCGTAAATTTATACCCGGACCGCTGTAATTCCTTCGCAGCTTCAGCTTGTCGGCACCGCTGTTTCTTCCTTCATGTCGGTCTTCTTACCAACCGATCCTCCTCACTGCTGTTTCGTTGCTAATTCACTCTCTTGCTCGACATACGCCGAGTGATGGGAACTGTCCGTCCGTCCTAAGATATCGGACACTTCTAGCAACTGGAACCTGCGCTATTCCGTGACTTTTTGCCCTACTAAGTCAATCTTGACTTGCTCTGCAAACGTTACACGGACGGAACTCGTGCTTTATTCAGATGACGACGTTTTTGTAGCATGCGCCGCCCCTGAAATATGTACACCCGCCACTGTCGCAAGGCACCAAGTTCCCATCGGAAATATCTGGATACAGTTGTGATTTTAGGCGGTTATCATTTGATCCACAAAATGGGCATCGATGATGACCCGGGTGTGGTTACGCGAGAATATGGACCCGAATTTTAGTCGTACACGTTTGGTTCTTGTGCTGAGTAAAATCTGAATCTTTTGTTTTCTGATGATTAAGAATCACAATATGAAGAGTTAGCATTCGTGGAGTACGTTTTAGAAAGCTGCAAAAAATCACGACCAATACCGGTATCTTCGCCGAGCCTTCAAGAGATAATAAGATGGTACAATAAATTTTAGGTTCCCGAACGGTAGTTGGCGTACCCCAACCTATGCAATTGAACGGTACGTACCCTCTTATAACCAACTTTCTGGAGGCAGTCACCCGTTAGCACTTGAACATGGCCGGCAAGAGCGACAGTGTGCGACGCAGTCACAAGTCGAGCAAAGCCAAGAACAGTACGTATACTCCTGCCGACGACATCTCGGAATCCAAGACTCCCTCGAAGGCTGCAGGTAGCAGCAGCGACGCTTTGCTTCCAGCCAAGCCGGCCGTCATGAAGACCAAGTTCTGTCTCAACTGTCAGAAGGATTTAGCGCGCAACATTCGCATCACGTGCGCCGAGTGCAGTTCGCAGCCACAAATGGATCTGTGTGTCGAGTGCTTTGCCGTGGGAGTGGAGCTGGGCGAGCACAAGAAGACCCACCGGTACACGGTCTCGGACTGCTTGGCCTTCCCTATCGTGTACGAGCCCCCGACTACCGAAAGCGCGTCTACTACCTCAGCAGCTATTGGTACGAACGCCGCGGCCTTGCTTATGGCATCTAGCAATGATGCTGCCAGTGCAATGTGGACGGCAGATGAGGAGCTACTGCTGCTCGAGGGCATTGAGATGTTTGGCATGGGCAACTGGAAAGACATCGCTGAGCACGTGGTAACGAAAAGTGAAAAAAAGTGCGAACGACACTATCTGACGGCATATCTCGGCTGGGAGGATCTGATGCCCCGATTTGTTGGCGACGCAATTGACGAGAGCAAGGATGAGGTGCGGGACAAAGCAGCGGAGGACAAATTACAAATGACGACCGAGGAGAAAGCAACCGAGATGAATGCGGCATCGGACCAGGCGACTCGGGGGCCGCTTGGTGAGAGAAATGGGCCCAGTCAATTGGCTGGATACATGCCGCTGCGTGGAGACTTTGATGTGGAGTACGACAACGAGGCGGAGGTGGTTCTGGCAGATATGGAGTTTTCGGACACGGACCATCCAGCGGAACGGGAGTTGAAGCTAAAGGTTATTCAGATTTACAATCAGAAGCTGGAGAAACGCATGGAGCGCAAGAAGTTTGTTGTGGAACGCGGATTGCTGGACTACAAACTGCATCAGCACACCGAACGGAAGCGCCCAAAAGAGGAGCGCGAGCTGCTCGCACAGGTGCGGCCGTTCGCTCGGTTCCAGACCCCAGAAGAACACGATAAGTTCGTGGAGGGATTGATTACGGCCATGCGACTCAAGAAAGAGATCATGTTGTTACAAGAGTACCGCAAAAATGGCGTTCGTACACTGGCCGAGGCAGAATTGTATGATGCAGATAAGAAGAAGCGCGAGCTGGACCAGGCGATACAGAAGCAGCGTGACAGTGCCGCTTATTTATACGAGTCTGGTCGTACAACTTCCAGCCGCGACCGCGCCAATCGGTGGCATAATCGGGAGCAGAACGTGAATGGCGATGCTGGTGGCGACAGCTTGAGAAACAGAGCATGCGGAGCAGGTGGTCTCAAGGCGATTGCAGCGGACTTCTCCATCGAAGGCACCCCGGGCAGCCATTTGCTCACTTCAAAGGAAAGGGAGGTGTGCAGGAAGCTGAAGTTGCTTCCAAAGGTACTTGATAGGTGTAATCTTGTGCGTTGGGTCCTTGTCCGCGCATTGCTGATGTGGCTATGGTTGTTTTGTTGTAGCATTATTTGGTGATTAAAGACGCGCTGGTGCGAGAATGCTATCGCTTGGGGTATCTGACGAAAAAGATGGCCAAAGAGACGGTGCAAATAGGTGAGTGCTACGTGAGGCTGCTAAAGGTGTCGTTGGTGCTGATGAAATGTGTTGGTTCTCACAAATAGACGCGAACAAGACCAGTCAAGTGTATGACTTTTTCGTCAAGTGTGGCTGGGTCAAGCCAGAGAGTGCCATCGCAACTGGTGCGTCTTGCTCCCACGGCTCTGCGTCGCTTGCATATGACATGCCGCGAGCGAAGGTGTGACCTAACGACTTGTGCATTGGTGTCCGATAGTTGCGCCGTCGTTGAAGTCGGTAAATAGTAAAAGCCCAAAGGAGAGCAAGACATTGGTACAGGACACGAAACCCGAGTTGCCGGCAAAACGGACCGCCTCCGAGATGGAGGCAGCCTCAAGCCTATGACGCGCTCCCGTCTCAAGTTGTGCATTGCACATTCGATAACTGAGCACGTCATACCACGCGCGACCGTGCGAGTTGTAACTTAATTGTTCCTTTCCAAAATGTCGTCGGTATCGAGCACCAAAACCAAACCCCTCTAAACCGAATACAATCGATAAAAAGCTGTCGCATCACTGATCGAAGGGAGTTGCGCAAACGTCGGGTGACAAGGAGCACGTACATGGGCAATAGTAACATCCTCGAGGAGATCGCGGCCCAACGCCGTCTGGACGTGGCGACTGCCAAGCGGTCCGTGCCTGCTGAGCAGCTCGCACAGGAGATCAGGAGGACGGAAGACGCGTACGGACCAGCGCTGTGCGTGCTCGACCGTCTCTACACGCCTGCGGTACGTCGACTGCGTCGTGTAGATGGAGCGCTTATTGTCTGCTATTTATTTGCTCCCCTGTTGACGCATGTGTGTGTGCTGACTGTTTGGTGACTTCCTATGCTGCTGCTCATCCTTTGCAGAAAAAAGGCTGGCTAGACGTCGCACTAGCGGCAGAGTTCAAGCGCGCGAGCCCCAGCAAGGGCGACATCGCCACAGAGCTGGATCTTTGCGGTGCGTTTTGGGTGGATTGGCTCTTGTCAGTCATTGCCACGGGTGTCCACGTAACAGAATGATGACGCTTGGCGTGCGTGTGCTTTGTGTAGAGCAAGTCAATGCGTACGCGGATGCAGGCGCTAGTATGGTCTCGATGCTGACGGAGCCCAAGTGGTTCAAGGGCTCGTTGGAAGACATGATGGCGGCCAGAAAAGTCGTAGAGGGCATGGAGCAACGCCCAGCTATCTTGCGCAAAGACTTTATCGTCGACGTGTATCAGCTGTTTGAAGCTCGTGCTTACGGCGCCGACTGCGTGCTGCTCATTGTGGCTCTGCTGGCCCAAGAGCAGCTCGATGAGCTGATTGACGTAAGAGCATGATGCAGGATCGGTATGGTCTGGTGAGTACGAAGCGGTTGCTAATGTTGTTTACTATGACGTATAGGCGACCCACAAGCTTGGCATGTGCGCGTTGGTCGAGGTAAACAGCGTCCAGGAGTTGGAAACCGCTCTAGCTGCAAAAGCCCAGTTGATTGGCGTGAATAACCGCGACCTCCGCACGTTTAAAGTGGACATGGACACGACTGCTCGAGTTGCAGCTGCTATCCGCGAACGAGGTCTTGTGCTCGGACGGGACGGCGTCACGCTCTGTGCACTCAGTGGAATCCACTCGCACGCTGATGTGGTCAAGTACGAACAGTGCGGAGCCCGTTGCGTCTTGGTTGGCGAGTACCTGATGAAGAGCGGCGACATTGCAACAACCGTGAGAAACCTTATGCAGAATGAGTCGCACCACACCAGATTGTGCGACCTGTCCTTGCTCCCGCCGCTCGCGAAGGTGTGTGGCGTGACGAAAGTGGAGTATGCGCTGGCTGCCTTGCGCAACGGCGCTAACATGATTGGCATTATCCTGGTGGAACACTCGCCTCGGTTTGTTCAACGAGAAGAAGCCAAGGCCATTGCTACAGCCGTGCGTGAGTACGGTGAGCGCTCAGGCCCTATCCTCCCGGACATCTTAGCAACACACCTCGACGGCGACCGTGACTGGTTCGATCGGAATGTCTTGGCCTTGCGGGAGGCTTGCTCGCGCGCACCTCTGGTCGTAGGTGTGTTTGCGAACAAGACTGCCGCTGAAATGAACGCGGCTGCGGAGGACATTGGACTGGATCTCGTGCAGCTACATGGTGACGAAGGCTTCGAGATTTGCAAGAGCATCAAGCAGCCGACCATCCGGGCGTTGCACCTGCCGGACACTGCGCTGAGCGATGGCGTCGATGCGGAGGTCATTCTCCAGCAGGTCCAAAAGCCTGGCCTTGCCAACTACCTTCTGCTCGACACGACGGTAAAGGGTCAGCAAGGCGGCACGGGCGTGGCGTTCGATTGGAAGATCGCAGCCATCTTCACTGGCGCGCGAATTCCGTGCTTGATGGCGGGCGGGCTCACCCCTCAGAACGTCGTGAAGGCTCTGTCGGTTGGTCACCCTGTGGCAGTGGACGTCAGCAGCGGCGTCGAGGTCAAGGGGTCTCCAGGCGTCAAGGACGTGGACAAGATGGCTGCGTTCCTAAAGGCCGTCAAGCACTACCTCGCGGTTGCTGCGCTCAAGATTGACGAGGATAAGGAGGCGTAGGGACACTCGTTGACAGGCAGTGGGGTTGTCTTGCGCTAAAGCCCGTCAGCGAGACCAGATCAACGTCATAGACTTCCACTCAGTGTGTATACAGCAAGATGGCCGTAAGATGAAGCTTCGTCTCGTTCTGCATTGTGCACGCAAGCAGCACAAGACGGTACTGGACCACGCTGCAAAGGGTCGGGAGACAATGGCAAGAGGCAATTTCTGCGCAACTCAGTGCCTCTGCCCGGCGATCATCGCCTTCTTCCACGTGCACGTGGTAGCACATGGGGTATCTATCACTGACTACGAGAAGTGGCACAGCTTTCTTGTCCACGAGTCTTTGGCGCGAGTTCATTAATCGCTTGCTCTCATTGACACAGTACACGCATCAGAAGGAAGTCACTGACCTTGCGCTGCACTTGCGTGATCTTCTCAGATTTGGCCTCGTTCAGCAGTAACGACTGGAAGGTGCGCTTCATCGAGCACCGAAGCATTAGCTCCAGGAGCCTAAATCGCTTCCATGGTGCCCAATCGCCTAGTCACCTTAGCGGCAAGACAGTCACTCGACGACAGCGCAACTGCTGCTTTGCGCGGACTGCTGAGTCTGTCGCCTGGCGGTGACAGCGCAGCAGAGCGCGAATCTGCGTCCCTGTCGCTCGTCGTGAACTTCCGCCACGTCGCCCCTTCCTGTGTGCTGCAAGCGCTGCAGGATGTGGCTGCAGTGGAACACTACTCGCACTCGCTGCAGCGCTATCCGCTGGTCAAACAGGCCTTTTGGGAGCAGGTCTTGGCCTCAAAGCTCATGCTCACGGATTCCAAGACAGGCAGACAGCAGCTGCAGCTTCAACACGAGCGATTTCCGAGCCTCGTGCTGGATTTCTCGCGCTGTGTACTTACTACGGAGCTGCTGGAGATCCTGACAACGTTCTTCGCGCAGCAGCAAGAGACGCAGCCAAAGTCTGAGCGATCATCAGGTGTAGAGGTGGTCAGAGATGCGGTGTCTCTCGGTCGGCTGGTTCCCGTGACGCTGAAGCTCGTCAGGTGCCGGCTGACGGCAGAAAAGATCGCGATGCTAACGCCGATACTGGTGCCGGATCGACGGACGCGTGACTTTCCAGTAACACTTTGGGTGACGTCGCTGGACTTGAGCGAGCATTCAATGCGAAGTGACGAGTTAATCGCACTGGCGGAGCTGTTGGATAACTGTAGGCGACGGAGAGAGCGACGACGCGAGCTATCGCTCGAGGAGCTCGTGCTGGAAAACGCTCTAAGTCGAGCGCTCACGCCGGAGAACTGGGAGGCGTTCCAAGCATTCGTACGTGCGGCCTTTGGCGTAACTGAAGGCTGCAGGCCGTCACTGAAGCGGTTGTCGCTGGCGAGGAATTCCTTAAGCTGCCATCATATCGGCTGCATTTGCTCAGCATTGAGATGCGATAGCACAGGTCTCGAAGACCTCTCGCTCGCTAATACGCTTTCGCTCGTGGATCCGGTCGACCGCAAGGTCTGCTGGCAGTGGCTGGCGATTGGACTTCGTCCCATGAGTTTTCGCCGTCGACGGCCAGGACTTCGGAGATTGGACTTGTCAAGCAACCCTTTGTATCTCATGGACGGCGAAGCGTGGATTGAAGGTCTTCGGGATCACCAGGCGACGGTCTGGCAATGGCTCGAAGACGCAGGTTGCTCCCACACGCTTCCCGGTCAAAGTGCAGCAGTCCGGTGTCTGTTGTCCAGTAGTGCTGAGCTGTACTCGTCGCCGATTGAAACCTGTCCACGATTGCGTGCCGTCGAGCAACAGGTCAATGCAGTCAGTCCTGGAGTCAAAGCTGCCGAGTATGAGGTGCTGGCTTCCGTTGTAGGCGACCGTGCCTGGCTCTGCGTCGTACTTCCGGGCTTCGGTGTGGCCTGGACGCAAACAGAACACGCAATGTCCTGGGAGCCTACCGAAGACGGTCAACAGAGCGGTTCAGCAGTACTGTCGGAGCTCGTAATGAACGACATGGCAGTCTCTCGGACTACAGCAGATGCGCTGAAGAGCTTCGTCGGAGGGTTTCGTGCGCAACTGCGATCGCTAGAGCTACGGCGCAACGCATTGTCTGCCATGGACCTGGACGCGATTTTGGCCGGCAACCAGCAGCTTTCCACGTTGGACGTCGAAGGCTGCAGATTTCTCCAGCTCCAGCTACTCGTCGATGCTCTACGTGGAATCCCGGGCCAACATCTCCGAAAATTGAACTTGAACGCCAACCTCATTGGTGCTGACGCCATGAACGCGCTATCCGCAGCTCTACGTGGGCAAGGGGCCGATTGCCTCCCAGTGTTGCAAGAGCTACGTGTTGCGCACAACGAGATTGGTGCCACTGGCGTGCGCCATCTGCATGCGGCTTTAGAAGCAAACAAAGTGTTGATGCTGTTGGAGCTCGACGTGCCGCACGACGCCGCAGAGGCCCCTCGATGGCGCGATGACGATGAGTACACTCGGCTCTACCGGACCCGTTGCATGGGATTGAATGCGTCGTTCGACAACGAGTTAGTAGGCGTCACTCCGCTGCCTCTTGCTCGCAAGATCGCGTTCTTGCTGGTGCTCCATGCGCACGCTGTTGTGCTAGACCGGGGCATTTGCGCTGTCGTCTTCCGTTTTGCAGCCGAGGAGAAGCGCCGTCGCATTCTTTGGCATGCTGTTCCAGCGAGATAGGAAGACGCAGCAGGTTGTAGGACTGTCGAGGCTGGAGCTACCAGTACTCTACGGCGACCAAAGCACACAGGGGGCAGTGCAGTGCAGTGCAGCGTAGTGCAGTGCAGTGCAGTGCAGTGCAGCGCAGTGCAGCAGAACGAGATGTCCATCTCGTTGTAACGATGAGCTGCTCGCGGAGACGCAGCGACGCCACTCAAGAGAGGTGTTTATTTGTAAGCGCCCAGCCCTTCTTTGCGTCGAGCAGCTGGACGCTGGACAAACCCACGGGGGCGAAGAGAACCGCGATCATGCGTGGTGGCTGGACGCACAAGAGAACAAAAAGAGCAGGCAGCGGCCCATCCGTGGATTTGCAGAGGCGAGCAAGCGTACATGCCGGCGACACACCACCTGCTGAGAATGCACCGGCTGGCATGCAAGCACACAATGATTTGTAACAACGAGCTGAACCATCCCGCTTTTCGACCAGGTCGATCACGAGGCGGCAGTCGCGACTCAATATCTCATCCACTGCTCCACTTGTTACCCCGGGCCTCAGTCGCGAGCGTGGCGACGGCGCACCGAAGGAAGCGGTTCAGACGGGGCGATGCATAGCGTGAACGACTCGAGCAGCCTGTGCGGCTCCAAGAGCCTCTACGACTCGGATAGCGCCTTTTCCATGACGCCACACAGTGCGATACTGCAGTTTGACTTTCGCTCGAAAGACCGCCCGCCGACTTCTACGCGTGTGGTCGACGAGCCGACTTTGAGCCGGAAGCAGCACGTGACCGACATGATTACGTCACTGCACGAGAACAGGACGAGCGTGAATATATGGCAGGTGGGCTTTGGTGCCGCGCTTGGTCTCATGCTCGGTGTGATGCTTATCCATTACAACGTTGGTGGGGCGTGGGCTGACTGGCTTGCGATGCCTGGCCATCTCTTTATTGCAGCACTGAAGTGTCTAGTGACGCCAATGGTGTTCTGCAACGTCATTGTATGTATCGGTGAGCTGGTGGAAGCCGGCAAGGCCGCGTCGATTGGAAGACGAATGATCTTCTCATTCGCCGTAGCGTCCATCACGTCATCATGTACCGGTACGCTGTTCGCCTTCGCCATGTCGAAGCTCTATCATTCGAGTGCTGTCATACCGATCAAGCAAGCTTTCCCGTTGCTGAGCTTCCAGTGTGCTGACGGCAAATACCTCTCCTACGCGTCGAATGGAACGATTGCATGCAGCTCGAAGAACGGCACGATGCCGAACAGTCTATTTGAGCTGAAGGACGTAAGTGGCTACTTACTGATGTCGGATACAGAGTACGCGAATCTGAACGTGTCGGAGCAGATTTTTACAATCTTGAAGGACCTCGTGCCGAACAACATTTTCGACTCGTTTTCTGGGACCTCGACACTGGGCGTGATCGTGTTTGCAATGGTCATGGGGGTTGCACTATTGAAGAGTGTGGACAAAGGAACAGGAGTGGACAACTATCCTCTTCTTATGGTGACACACGCAAACACAGTGATCCTCTTGCTTCTAAACATGGTGGTGAAGTATACTCCAATTGCCGTCGTCTCCTTGATCGCGGGCTCAATCGCTGGCTACAGCTCGTCATTGGTACTGATCAAAGGAATTGCCTTTCTGGCTGGCACTTTGATTGTCGCGCTGCTTTCGCTTACGATCGGGATCTTCGGACTGGCGCTTTTTGTGACGACTCGGCGAAATATCTTCACGCACTTGTGGCACGTGCTCCCTGCTCAGCTTTTCATCTTTGGATCTTCCAGTTCAATTGCAGCCTTGCCGATTACGTTGCGGTGTATGGACGATACGGAGGAAGTGCCGTGCCAGATCTCGAGATTCATCCTGCCGCTTGGTGCCACATGTAATCTGAATGGCACGGCCGTTTACATGCCGCTAGCGTGTGTCTTTTTGGCGAAAGTTGGTGGATACGATGCGTTGCTGACGCCTCTGCGCTTCGTCCTGTTGGCATTTGTAAGCGCCATTGCGTCATTCGGTGTTGCTGGCGTGCCCCACGCTGGTTTGGTGATGGTGCTTACTGTGTGGCGGACAGTTTTCGGTGTAGATGTGCCCGTAGTATTCACAATCTTGGCGAGTACGGACTGGATTCTAGACCGCCTACGGTCTGTAGTAAACATGACAAACGATACTATCATCGTACGAATCATCGCTGCACAGCAGACGGAAGACATCGATGTGTGAGGTCATATTCCGTGAACCAATCTATCATAGTAAGGCAGATGCACTAGAGAGCCCAACCCCAACAACGGACGCACGTTGATAATGTCGACAGCTAATAAATACGCCTCGATACAACCTGAGCCACGCTTGAGGTGAAGCACGCATCCATCGACGGCTACGAACTCAATTGGATCGCCTTAAGCACTTGCTGGTTGTAGTACTCTGCAGCTTGCTGGAGACGCGAGTACATCTGTAGCAAACCCCGACAGCAGCAGCAACAACAATCAGGGAAAGTCAGCATTCGAACATCAAACACTTGGATGGCGCGTAAGCTTACCTGCTCCAAGCTCTTCAGCTCTTTCTGGTACTGAACTTCCACCTCCCGCATCTTGAGCTCCACCTTGCGAGTCGCTTCTGTGTTGTGAGTTATGCGCTGACGAACGTCCAGGTGTACGGACTCTAATTTATATAGCTCCTCCCGAGCAGTTTGGAGTGCTTTGGAAGCAGCTTCTTCCGTCACCCGTGCCTCCTCGATATACTTCCAGAGATCTCTCTTCTTTAGCTCAACGAGCTTTTCCAGCCGCTGCCGACGAGTAATGGTCTCTGCTATGCGGACCTGGAGCTCACGAATACGCTTCCGGGCATTCTTCACCTGATGTTTGACTTGCTTGCAAGATTCCATCTCTCGCTCGATCTCGCCCAGCAGTGCAAACGTCCTCGCCAACTCCTTTTCTGCTCTCTCGTACACGTCAATAAATCCCAACACGGCGCTGCGTTTCTCTTCGAGCTCAAGCACGTCTTCCTTGGCCTTCTCCAGCGTCTCGTCAATAGTCGTCAGCTCGCCTCTTACTCGTTCAGGTGACGTGACGATCAGCGCCTTCAGCCGCTCGATTTCTTCCTCTGCCTCAACCTTGTCGAACCTAGCGGATGCTACGACATCTTCCATCTTCTTGCGCCAGTCGCGTTTCTCATCCTTCTCATGGCGCATCACCGCTTGCTGTCGATTGAACCCGTCGATCTCCTTTTGTAGCTCCGCCACCTCGGTCTGTAGCTGCAGCCGCGCAGGCTCTTCGGCCTTTTGCTCATCGAGCAGCTGACCCAGCTCGCGCTGCAGCGCCGCGTTTTCCTCGCGCAACGCCTTCCGTCTCGTATGTAGCTCGTCCGTGCGTCCCGTGATCTCGCTGAACGCTACGAGGCGCTCTTCACGAAACTTGGCAAAGTTAATGAGCGCGCTGAGCTGCCGCCGCACGCGCTTCGGTGTCGGGTGCAGCACATCCCGCAGGCCAAAGTCAGAGACGCCGCAGGCTGCCAGCAGACGCTGTGCAGTGCGGTAGAACGTGAGCTCTGGGATCGACTCCGAGTGGATCTCCGGGAAGCTCAATGTGGGCAGTCCCGGGAAGGCGATTTGCGCCATGTCTTCGCGCGTCACGCCCATCGAGCTCTCAATGAACACCTCGAAGATCTTGCGCACGGCACTCGGCTCGCACGCACGGATCTCGTCCTCGGAAACGAGAACGCGCATCTCGCGGAGACACGCAAAGATGTCGCGCGGCTTGAGGAGCGGGAACGAGTAGCTCGCCATGTCGGCGCTTGGGTGTCGACCGGGTCGGCTCAAATCGCGAACTTGCGTCGTGTATCTGGGACCAATTTCGATGAATAAGGGTCAGCGTTGGAACACAGTGCGGCAAGATGCGTTCCTATTCCATAAGAATATGTGAATGGATTGGGTATAATTGGTCAGCCTGTACACACTCTACTGTGTAAGCACTATCTTTGTGCGGGGCGACGAATGGGTCCTATCCCGAACATGCGGGCGTAGCGATCCTAGACAAGAAGTGTATTTGTCCCCATCACACCAGGATCTTCTAGAACATTTCGAAAGCACCTCTACAGCTCAACCTAACGTCATAGAAACTTTTAGCAAACAGCTACTATTATCTATGTAACGAATATCCCGCCGTCTCGAAGAAGTCTTGCTCTGTACGTTCGCTCCAGCCATTCCTTGCTTGCGTTTCGTAGCATGATCGTAAAGTCAATCCTGTATGAAACATCTTGCGGTGGAAGAAGTAGCACATCAGCTGCCATCATGCCGGAGGATGCAAAGGGTGTGCTACTGCTGCTGCCGCTGAACTCGACTCGGGACTATCTTCCTGCAAATCGACGTCATTTTGGAATCGAGCTATCATGCCGGAGGACGCAAAGGGTGTGTGTAACGGGGCAGCCCGTTCCATGGAATTGTCACTTTGAAGAAACAATGACAATAAAGAATAAAAAGCTGAATATTTTTTGAACAATATCACCGATAGTGGTGACATTGGTGAAGCGACCAAAGGGTCTGCTCATTGGTTGATATCTTGACGATATCAACCCACCAATCGCCGCAGGATGCGCGCAATGAGTGGTGACGAGACGTCACCATACACTCAGTTCGATTAACATAATTAAGTCAGGTTAAACAGAGAGACAGTAACAAAAGACTTCATTATATTAATACAACAGTTCTACTTTTCCCTTATCTACGCTTCCTCCTTTGCCTCGTGTACGTCTGTCGGGCGCACCCAAAACCCTTGCGTTTAGTTCACGCAAGGGTGTGCCCCGTTACACCTGGTAGCACTTTGTAGTCCTTCTAAGGACCACAGCATCCAACATGAACATGTTGGATGATGAAGAGACCTTTCACGCCACGCGTGAAGGGTTTAACCATTTGAGTGACATCGAATGGAGTGCGGTAGGACGCATGAGTTCTACCGTAGGCGAGTTCGCCATTAGCGCCATGTTGGAGTCTCTAGACAGAGACCAACATGATGCCGCTATAGCCATGTTCATTCAAAATGAACTTGTCGCCGAAAGGGAGAAAGCAGCCTTGCTTCACCAGCACACTATACAAAATACTTTTTGAATCTGGAATTGTTTTATTAAAAATATGTAACATAATAGATTTCCCTATCGCCAAGTTCATTTAAAATGAACTTGTCGCCGAAAGAGAGAAAGCAGCCTTGCTTCACCAGCACACAGACAGAGCTGTTGAGACAGCAGCAATTCCATGCTGCTGTGGGCGGGACGGCACATGCGCGTCGTCCCGAAGTCATGAAAGTTGACATCTCCAAGTACAGTGGGGTCCCGGAAGACTCCCTGTTACTGTGGTTTGTCGAACTCGACAGAGCCTGAAGGGCTCGTCGCGTCGAAGATGAGCAAATGAAACTCACATTTGCTCAAACCCACTTGGCAGGACGTGCCAAACCTTGGTCCCTGGGGCTCGAGAGTAGCGACCCACATGTGTTTAGGTCGCTAGCTGACTTCAAGTCCTGGCTCAGACAAACGTTTGAGCCGCCAAGGGTTGAGTTCAGGGCTCGTTCAGAGCTCCTGAAACTCAAGCAGGGTAAGCGTGATGTGCACGCTTACGCACAACATATACGACTCCTTGCGAGTTGTATAACTGCTAACCCAGTTCATGAACACACGTTGATCACGGTGTTCATGCAAGGGCTCGCAGAAGGGCCCGTCAGGAGCCACCTGTTCCGCCTTGAGCTGAATACGCTGGAAGATGCGATATCAGCCGCGGAACAGGAAAAATTTAGCATGAGACAGGCTCATGCTAACTCAACCTCTTATCGTCCACCGAGACGACAAGAGATCGGAGGTCCAGAACCAATAGACCTCTGCTATGTTGAGAGCGAGAGACCTCGCTCTTCAAGCAACAAGCGATTGCAGAAGTGCAATCGCTGTCAGACGTTAGGGCACTACGCATATGAGTGTAGTGCTCCACGCCCAGTACCAACAGTACTGAGCGAAATGGACGACCATTTGCCAGAAATGGCAATGGGCGTGGGTCCAACGCTGTTGCGAAGCCCCAACAGCGAAACGGACCATCAAAAAATGGACGGGGTCAGTAGGGGCGGAGCGCCCTTCTGATCCAGCAGCCTCAAGAGAATTTGCAAATCTCTTGACGAACGTTGCTCCAAATACACAATCATTGTGTGTCTCTGCACCTGGTGATGACGTTTCGCTCATCACCTTGAAGTTGGAAGAGACAAATGATTTGTCGCTTCGTGCCCTAGTAGACTGTGGGGCTTCGAGCAACTTTGTTCGACGCCAGTCACTAGAGGGTCGTAGGCTCAAGTTCGTTGAGCGCGACATTCCCCTTACAAGGATGACGGTGCGCCTTGCAACAGGCGCATCGTTTACCGTTGAGAAACGTGTAGTAGGAATCCACTACACGTTAGAGGGCGAACAGTACGATGATGACTTCATCGTGCTAGATCTGGATGACAAATTTGATGTCATCCTGGGATTACCTTGGCTCAGAAGGTACGAGTTAAGGGTGAGCTGGCAGCATCGATTCGTGAAGATGCCTGTCGCTTGTTCATCAGATGGCCATCTGATGAACATCTTGGAGCGTCCACAAGCGTGTGGATGTTCTGCGAGTGAGTGCGATGGCATCACTTGCGGTTCGGTCGTTCGCACGACTGCACAAGATCATAGTGTAGCTAATCACTACACTGTGGAGCAAGCTCCTGGCGACTGTACAGAAGTACAGGCTGCGCCGAAGGTCCACCACTCGAACAAGTCGAGTGGACCGAAACGTGGATGCACGCTTAGCGGGCAGCATCTTAGAAGAAATAAACCTGTTGCCCACAAGCAGCAACACGGATATCCTAGGTCGACCGGAGAGTCGACCGTAGAGGATCGGTAACTGACTGTGGTTGCACAGCCACAGTCAGAAGACGTCGAGGGAATAAGTCCATACGTACTTGAGGAAGGAGTTCCTCAAGAGTTACTTGCTGAAGAATTAGGCCTTCAGCAACCTGTGGAACGAAGTTCCCAGGAAGTAACCGAGACGTTGAACGTCTTGGTTAATGACGGATCAAGCGTAGGCGCTTATACGCTTGATCTTATTGTGCCTCCGAAGTTGACTTCGGAGATAACTCAATTCCCAACGCTAGAACCGAAACGGTTCTTGAGTGATCTGCGCAGTGGCAAAGTCAAGCAGATCTGCATACTCGTCGCAGAGGATGAGTATGTGACCGACAATTGGTCGGCAACAGTATTTGCTGAGAACGAACGGGTTCATAGCAGCTCATCGATGGACGAAAGTGTCCTCGATGAGAAGACTCGGATTGAGTGAAACACTTCTAAATCCTAGGAGCCGCTTCAAACAAATTCTTTGTATAAGGATTTGATCGAATTCAAGGATGTGTTCCCTGAATCCGTACCTTGCGAGTTGCCTAAGGACAAAGGCATTCGACACGAGATCGAGCTCGAACCGGGCTCGAAGTACTGTGTCATGAAGCAGTGGCCACTGCCTCGTGAACAGTTACTAGCGATCGACAAGTTCCTTGCCAATCGCTTAGCAGCGGGCCATGTGAGGGAATCAATATCCCCTCACATCTCTCCGACCTTCTGTGTGCGAAAGGCCACAGGAGGATGGCGGGTAGTGCACGCGTTCAACAAGTTGAATGCTGCAACGGTACCGGCTCAGACGCCGATACCGAGGAAGGGCGTAATCATTGATGGTATGTCTAAGAGTACCATCTTTTCGTCCATGAATCTGATGGATGGATTCTATCAGATCCTCATGCGTGAACGGGACATCCCGTACACAGCAGTGAGCACCCCCAGCGGTATGTTGTGGGAGTGGCTGGTGATGCCACAGAGGCTGAGCAATGCCTCTGCTACTATCAACAGATGTGTTACAAATCTGCTGAGACCGGTGTGACACTTTGCACCGAGTTACTTCGACGATGTGTTCGTTCATAGCCGGGCTATGGACGGAAAGAAGGACGTTGAAGTTCACAGAACTCATGTTCGTCAGGTTCTATAACTTATGCGCAAGCATAAGTTGTATGCCAACCTCAAGAAGTGTATAATTGCGGCAAGCGAAGTACCGCATCTTGGGTACATCGTGGGTAAACACAGCATACGCCCTGATTCCGAAAAGATCAAGGCAATCACCGACTGGCCTATGCCAGTCGATGTCAAGGGACTTCGGAAGTTCCTTGGTTTAGCGGCGTAATTGCACAAGTACTCTCGCAAATTCGCCGAGATGACGGTACATCTTTCTTGGTTACTCAAGAAAAATGTCAAATGGTCATGGAACGCTGAGTATCAGCGTTCCTTTGAAGGTATCAAGCAAAGCTTGATGCAGTCGCCGATATTGGCGATTGAAAATCAGGACAGACCAATTCATGTGGTCTGTGAAGCCAGCAATTTTGCAATCGGCTGTGCGTTAATGCAGTTCGACGCAGATGGCGCGGAGCGCGTCATCTGTTATCAGTAGCGTCAGCTGCAACCAGCCGAACGCAATTACCCAGTGCATGACAAGGAACTCCTTGCCATGAAATATGCACTTGCTAAGTTCCGGGTCTATCTCTTGGGAGATAGACCGTTCATCGTGTATACCGACCATGCGTCACTACGCACGGCCGTAAACAGCCCACACCTCTCGCAGAGAATGGCGATGTGGCTGTCTTTCTTCGCGGGGTACAACTTCTCCGTGGAGTATAAACCAGGAAGACTTAACGTCGTCGCTGATGAGCCTTCGCGCCGGCCCGATTTCGAGCCGGTCGCACAATTAAACAGTGA